ATATATATTAAATAAAAATAAATAAAATTGAAAATATGTTTATTGCAATACCTGTAATTGGAACAGTTATGAATGATCTTGCTTAAACAGTGTAGTACCATGTCATACCCACCATGACAGATAAAACTATTTTGGTAACAAAGAATCTAAACGTTTAGCCTTTTAACTAAAGCAAGATAAACTAACTGCTCCAACATTAAAGCTTAGGAACTATTTCTAGTTTGTTTACAATTCAACAGACATTCCATCCAATTTTATGTAATCATAGACTCAGTTCAACGCCAACTCTGCTTCATTTTAAGACCTCTCCTTTAATTTGTCTTATTCATTCAATCTGAGTCAAGTCTTGAGTCTCTGTGTTTCATGACATCAGGCTGTCCTTGTGTAACCATAAGCTTTGGATTTTTTTTTCAGTTGTTTTAGTCGCAGGGTTGATAGAAACCTATCCACTCTTGTTCACCTGCTTCTCTTTGTAACTATGGCGAATCACGTCCCAGGAGGCTAGCGGAAGTTAGAATGAGGTTAGAAGTCTAACAGGTTGGCCAAGATGTCAAGGCCATTGGCCTTTCAGAGAACCAAAGCCATGCAATAGCATGAAACAGCCTCGACTTCACATACCTCTTTATTTTGCTCCCTAGGTGAAACCCACCATGAATTTGAAACTGATGGGAAGAAGTGTAACAGCACCAGCACACTCAGAGTCCGCGCATACGGCAGAAACTCAACCGCGGACTGCGTTATCCGACACAAAGGCCTGCAAGGAACAAAACTGGCAGCACCTTTCCGGTTTGAAGATTTGGGTAAGAACCTCCAGTGACTGACTGTCTTTATCATTTTCAATTTACCTTAATATTACACTTCCAAACAAAATAAAATGGAGTAGGAAAAGCCCCTCAGAGTGAGCTCACTGTCAGCAAAGCTTTCCTTAATAGCAAATTCCTTTAATGACTGAAATTCCTCCAGCTGGGCGACAGGGCGGCAACTCTCCCAACATTCAGCAGAGCCCAGTTGTGCAGAAGGCCTAGCAGAGTGCCATATGCAGACGGTGTCCTGCTTGCATTTTGATCATGACAGCTGGCACAACTTGACCTTAAATGGTTTTATTGCAGTCATGTTTTTGGAGAGATCATGTGAAGCATACTACATCTCTGTATTGAACCCAAAAGATGATACTAACTGAAGTATATATAAACTTGCCAATATCATTTTATGTTGTTATAAATACCCATGTAGTCACATTAAGTCATGATTACGCTTTAGATTTATTTTGTTATAACCATTTTGGGCATTTGAGTTTAACCCTGTTAATATTCTGAGACCACCAAAATAATAATAATAATAAAGTAAAATGAATAAAACATCAAACATTAAATGTGAACAGGCATTGCTTCCATTTTCAGAATCTGTTCTCTGATTCCTTCACCAAAAGTTAAGGAAATATTTTTAAAATATATAAAACTTTTTGAGCCAAGAAGTGTCCTCTAAGAAGTGGCCTGAGTCACACGTCTATCATTAACGAGACTCTGACTATCATTATCTTGTAAGGTACTTCTCAGTATAAAAAAAGATTCCTGAAGTATAAGAATTCACTCAGACTAGTGGAGGTGGAGGGTGTTGGATGACAGTGCATTTGCTGAAAAAGCTCTTTATCAAATGAAATAACTGAGGCTGAAAGGCGCTTGTTAAGGAGAACCTCACTGTGGGAAAGCTGTCATGCTGCCCGGTGGGGGCTGTCGCTGCGGTTAACAGCTCCCCTATCACTGCCACGTGCTCTCCTCCGGTCACTTTCTCGTCAAACCAAAAGCAGTGCTTGAGGAAGCTGCATTTAGAAGACTCAAGGACCCAGAGACTGGGCTTTCCTGTAAGCTGGCACAAATCTTCCTTCCTCTATATGATTCACTCCCCTCCCCAGCCTCCACCCCATCAGAGGAATGGGAGCACAGGGCACGTGGGGAGTGTGGAGGATCCCCAAAGAGAAAATGAGACTATTTATCAAGATGCTTCTGAAAGACACTCAGATTTTAAGAGCCAACAATAAGAAAAAAAGTTTTACTTTTCAGCAATTGTTCAAGCCATCTACAAAAATTACTGCTAAAGGGGAAATCAGTTTCTCCTCCTTAAAAGCCAGAGTTCTACAGGACTCGAAATCATAACCATAAAACGCTTCTAGTAATAATAATTGGCAAAGACTTGCGTTTTATTTGTGGTCTAATTGTTGATTCCTTAGCACCAGTCACAGATCCCCAGTAAGCGAGGACCCCAAAGAATTTTTATTTATGTGAATTACACCTGTTAATATTTACCTGTTAGAAAGTACAACTGTAAAAAAAAAGATTTAAATATTTATTTTTAAAATAATCTAAATCTACTACAGATGAAGTGAAATGGCATATTTATTTCATGGAAAAATAACTATATTTTGCAATGCCAAAAAATGGTGAGAAAAATGGCACTGTTTTACTATTTTCATTTTATAAAATCTCTTTAATATCTAGTTTAAGAGAAAACAATTCGGTTCTCATACCTTGTGCCTTCAATCTCTTGTGATACGTTGTTTTGCTTGAACTATATACAAAACATATCCAGCCTCACACAAAGACAAGTTGGAAAAGGGCAGAGTATCTTAATAGCCTTTCAGATAACTGTGGGTAGGCTTCTTAGATGCTACACTAAAACTTGACAAGAGGTGGCTTCTTAAAAGTTAGTTGCTCTGTGGACTCTAGAACCCTCTATGAACTTTCCATACTCTTGTTACATTAAAATCCACTGAACAAACTTGCACTTTGAATGGATCTTTCATCTAGGCACAATTTTGTAACATCATGCCTTGGTGATTTGGAAAATACTGATTCATCGATTATACAAATCTTTCAAATGTGGGTGTGTTTCAAAAATCAAAATCACATTCACTAAGGTCATCACAAATCTCATCAGAGGTCTAAGGATTTGGAAGCTGTCAAGGTCACAGTGGTGGATGGATACAGGTTTTCCAAAATTCTAACTTGAAACGTAGCGAGTGCAACTGAGGGACTAGATTTTAAACATTATTTAACGGTTCTTAATTTTAAATTTAAATAGCCAATGTGGCTGATGGATATCATATTGGATAGCACAGGTCTATAACATTCTAAACAATGAGAGAGAGAAACCATAATGTACCAGTACCCGTTTAATCAGAACAACGTTCAGTCTAAATGAATCTATTTAGTAAGTTTGCTAAATAGAGGATAAAGCAAAGTAAATGCAAACTCTCCCTCTATATGTACACACACAGCTACACACACAGACTATTGCATATATATATAATATATATATGTACACACACAATTGTATATATACACTATGGTGTGTATGTATATTATATATACACTGTATATATTGTGCATATATATGCATTGTATATATTGTGCATATATATAGTATATATAATATAACCTATAACATAAATATATAATTATCTGAATTCAAATAGTATACATTATTCTAAGATCTAGAAGATCTTAATCATTATGGATAAATTTTATTCTATGGGTCCCCAATATTTCCTATATTAGCTCTTCTTGTAATTTGTTTCTAGTATTTCTATTGGGCTAGCCTTCAAGCTTTTCCGTATTTTCCTTCCCAGCAGCTCTCCTCTTTCTTTAATTATCTCTGGCATCTTTGTGGCCACAGAGCTTACTTTAGCCCTACTGTCTATGTTACTATTTCTCTAATGTTTCCTTAGTGGTTCTTCCTTTTCTCAGAGCTCCTGGCACGTGAGTCAGGCCTTTTTATAGTTTTCAAAAGTTTTTCATGTTTGGTTAATAAAATAAACCACAGAAAATTCTTTGATTAAATAAAAGGCTAAAAAGCACTCACATATTTCACAAAGACATTACCCACCAGTCAGTATTACAAATATTGTTCCTGAAATATCAGGAACAATATTTGTAAATTAACAGGTACCTTTTTTATAAGCTCCCTGGTTGCAGGCCTGTTCATTGACTGGTCAAATCGATGCTAAGCTGAACCTCTGGAAATATTTCTAAACACTGCTTTATATTATACAATAACATTTAGTAAGCATTTTGCTTAATAAATAGCCAGGTGTCGTTCAAAACAAGTAAAGTTACATGAACGAAATCATTTGTTCTCCCCCTCCCAAAAAAAAAAAAAAAGGAAAGGAAAAGAAAACCTCCAAGAGGTAAATGTTACACGTAAGAAAAAAACCCCAAGCATATGAGAGATTAGCACCCTGTCCAAACTCACTCAGCCATAAGCAAGTAGCAACACTGGGATTCAATCCAGTATGAGGCTGACTCCAAAGTCACCTAGTAAGTAGGCAGGTAGATATGTGAATGGGCAGATGGACAGAGGGACTGGCAGGTAGATGGATACAGACAGAGACAGGCAGTAGTCTCTGGCCATTCCTGCCACGCGCGCCCCTCCCCGGAGGTCCGGCATGCTGGGCTTCTAAGCCAGGCAGCTCAGCAGATGGGCAGTCAGCGGGATACAGATTCGAAAACCAGAGCAAGAGCTGTGGAACATATGGTTCTGAGCTTTCTGCAAAACCTCCACAAGCAGGTAGCAGCCAAACACCTACTGCATCCTACTTTACTGAGCACAATGTGGGTAAGACTGCTCTCTGTAGTTGCAGACTTTTGTTTTTCCCCTTTTCTAGTTACTGATCAAGAGACAGCTTCAGATGCCCCGGAGATGAGCTCTCTGTCCTCTCCAGACCCTCAGCAGTCTGCTAGTACCGGTAAGTGTCGGCAACATTAAAAGTGGAGGAAAAAATCATGCCTCTTTGGGAAGGTTAATTTTCAAAGTCTAAGGTTTAAGACTATGCTTTCTTTTAACTTATAATAAGACAATATAGGATGCCCTCTGATTGGCTTCAGCTTTATGGTGGCCTGAGAAGCACCATATCAGAATTCACGTAGTGGGCTGGGCTTCAGGGCAACTAATGCCTTGGAAGCTCCCCCCACCCACTCACACACACAGGCACACGCACACACACACGATGGTGACATTTGACTTCCTCTCTGGTAAAAGGCAAGGTTAAATTCATTTATGGGAAACTTATTTCTTTGTTGTTCCCATCTAGAACAGACCAAACCCACACACACACGCACACACACACACACACACACACGCACACACACTTGGTAACAACAAAGAACAAAAAAGCAGGACCTGGAGATTTGGAGTTGACACTGAATAACAAAATCACCCTTGAAGGCTCACCAGTTACCTAGTTGTTAAGAACTCAGATAGATTTGATGACAGGATTGAGCTATAAATGCAGAAGAATTTAGAAAACGTGAATTATAATTCCAGGGTTTTTTAGATAGTGAATCACTAGATGGTTATCTGTGGACAATGATTATATATTTAACTTATCTTTGTATTTTTACCTAGCATAGTATCTGACAATAGCAGGTACTCACAAAATGCAGTATGAATGAATGAATGAATGAATGCAGTTGTTACAGTGCTTTTGAGCAAGACAGCCTCATTTAGAAAGGCATAAATTCCAACGTGTCCTCTTCCTATTTCAAATAGTGTCTCTATAAAGATGTCAGATGATTGGATAAGTGCTTTCATATCATTATCATGTTCCTGGTGCTGAGAATCAGATCACATTTTCAAAATAACTTGAATTATTTTGAATTAAAAGTAAATGTTTAGGTTTTTTAAACCCTGGTAAACACACCTGTACCATACAGACATACTATTTCTGAAGGGCAATGGAAATTGAAAATATGAAGTGTAACAGCCACATCACTTGCTTTAAAAATCCAATATTTTTAAACGTGTTTAGAATCTAGTTGTCCTTAAATTGGCTTACACCACTACCGAATAACTCAATTTTCTGCTCTGCTTTTTCATATATGACATAAGAGTTAAGAAATATGGTTTCTAAATTCTTTTCAGCTGTCAATTCCTATGATTTTCTTACTGTTAGTAATACCCATTTTCAATAGAAGAATGGTTTCATTCCCCTCGGGGTCCACATGGTGGCGCTGTGCAATGGGCTAAAAACCAAGAGACTGCAGAGAAGGAAGAAAAAAAAACTACCAAAAAAACACCCAGAAAATAGGGAAGATAAAATCAGTCAAATAGGGAAGACAAAATCAGGAAAAGAGATCTCTTACTTTTATAATTTCCCTTACCTAGCAACATCACCAGAGTGCATCCCACTTCTAAGGGGGAAGAAAGCATAGGTTTGAATGACAACTGAGCCTGTTTTCAACATAGAAAATCCTCGTTTTGTGCATTTCAGGCTATAGGTTTTCTGGTCCAGCAGGCTTGGGATGCCACTCATCAGCATTCGGTTGCTATCCTGAAGCATCCTAAAACTGCCTCAATGAATAGGTAGGCCTGATCCAGGAAGGAAGTATAAAATACTGGTTCAAATTCTGGGTTTTGAGTTTCCGTACTGGCTCTGCCACTTACTTGCTCTAAGACTTTATAGACAATTTACTTAACTTCTCCAAACCTCTGTTTGCTCAGAGCTGTGGTAAGAAATAACATATACCAAATGGTCGGGTTAAGGCCTCGCACAGAGCAAATCTTCAATAAACATTCACCTTAAACAAAAAAAAAATAAAGTGACCCTGATCATTGGCAACTATTTTTGGAGGAAGTCAGTAGTTTTTTTAATAATGATCACTTAATTTGGTTTCCAAAGCTGCCTTGCCATGTTGGGATGACTCTGTGACATAGACACACTACACAACACATACATCGTCATTTGAATATGTCCTCCTTTCACCCTAGCTGCAGTAATGGAAATTTCTAGTACGTCAGAGATTGACAAGGAGGAGGAAGAACAAATCACTCAAGTCTCTCACTTGGCCACTGGTGAGTTTCCACTTATTTATTTAGAATAATCACTTGACATTTTAACCTCTTAATCAATGCGTCCAATAGCTCTTTTCCATCTTTATTTTTTTTTCTTGACCTTTCTATTGGTTAATCACGGCCTTGTTCCTTGACTTAGCTGTCTCCCTCGCTTCCTTGACGGACTCTGCCTGGTCCTGTTGCTTTTTACTAACCACCAGCTAACTTCCCTTCCTCCTCGGACTACTTCAGTGTAGATTTGATTTTACTTGTCATCCTTGGTTATTTCCTTAATTCGTAAAGAGTTTCCTCATTCCCATGACTGCTTCTGTTGCCACCAGGCAGGCTTCCATATCTGTATTTCCAAAACATTCTCCTGAGCATTAGTTCCTGTTTTATTCCATTTCCCACATACCTCTGGCTGAATTTTCAGCCATCTCAAACCCAATATGGCTAAAAACTGAATAGCACCTTTTCCCACAAAATCAGCTTGTCCAAAGCATCTCCCAGGCCCAAAACCTCAGCATTATACTTCCTCGTGTGTGTGTTTGTGTGTGTGTGTGTGTGTGTGGACACACACATATATATGAAATCAGTAGGTTTCCAAGGACTTCTGAGTCTTCTCTTTTAGGTATTTTGTCCACTGTCACTGGTACCTCCCTGATCCAGACCCTCATCATCTCCTGCGTGAAGTACTGTAACTTTCATTTCTCCTCTTGTCCATTTTTAGCACCCTACTATCAAAACAGCCCTTTGCACTCTTCACACCTACACTCAGAAAACCTCTATGACTTCTGACAGTCTACAACACGGCACGAGCCTTAAGCCCTTTGTAAGGTGCCCTCTACCGCCTACCTCTGCAGTCCTGTCTCTGTAAAGTCCTGATCAGAATACACACCCTTCTCTGAAAACATCATCCCATTCTGATTGCCATGGCCTTGTTGACCCGAACTGCCCCTGATGAAAGGCAATCCTCGTCACCCCTCTCCTTATCCCTCCTTCAAGGCCAGCATCCTCACCGAAAACTTTCCTGACCAACTCAGGGACCACTCCTGCCTCTGAATCCCTGAACACATTACGCTAACACAGGTGGGCCCAGAATTCAGCATAGATAACTCACTTCTGTTCTTCTGGGTTTTTTGTTTGTTTGTTTATTTGCATATAGAGAGAACTACTCCCTAAATCATAGGGACTGTGTCTTATGCATCTCCAAGCTGATGCTCTACACGTAGCTGACACTCTTAATTGCTTGCTGGTAGAGATGAGAGGGCCACAAAAGACATTTAGCAAAACTAGAGCCCACAGAATCAGAGAAAGTTCTTTAAGAGCTCATCTGGTTTATCTCCCAATGCCTTTATGTAGGACCTCATTTAACTGAGCCAAGATTAGTGAAATTTCATTTTATTTGACTAGTTTTCCAAGCTCCTTAACAACCTGTCTTGCTACTTAACTACACTTTGCTAAAACCAACAACAAACAAACAAACAAAACCTCATTCCTTACAGCTTATCTGAATCCCCTGGCTATAATTTAAGTCAACATTCCCACATGTTTTCTCTAAAAATGAAAAATAACTAGTTCGATTCCTATGTAACTTAAAAACCTTTTCCGAGTCACCCCACAAAATTGCTTTGCTTGTTTGTATCCCTGTTTGCTTGCTTTCAGAAAACAAATAATGCAAATCTCTTTGCCTTCAGGGTAAAGCTCTCCTTCATCCCTTCATCTTAGCTCCACTCTATTTTGAAAATATTGTATCTATTCCTTAGTGACCAGAAAAAAAAAAAAACACCCTCAAACTGTCTAACGTCCTTCCATTGTCCTTATAGAAGCGAACCGTCAGTATGCGGGACTGACCAGGAAGAAGAGTGGCGTCCTGCTCCTGACCCTCGTTTCCTTCCTCATCTTCATCCTCTTCATCATCGTCCAGCTCTTCATCATGAAGCTTCGGAAAGCACACGTGGTATGGAAAAAAGGTGAGTGGGCAGAGAGCCTGACGGAGGCTGTAAGATGCGGAAACCACTGGCCAACAAAAAGGGAAATTCTGTCAGCTAAAGCTTTTTGTTCCGTTCGATGCTGTGCCATCCACATGGTAACTGTTGTCATTCAAATAAGCAACTGTTTGTTTTGCAGTAAACACGGATGTGAATCTCCACGGACTGCATTGTCCAGTGTACGTGACCAAGAGACACTAGAGTAGCTCCAGGAATAGGCATTCAATTGTAGAAGCTTCTGTTTATAAAAGGATACTAAATAGAGAACCCGTTCATTCATTCATTCATTCATTAAGCATTCACTGAGCACCTACTGTGTAGCAGGAGCTCTTCCAGGTTCTGGGGACACATCTGTCAACAAGTCAGAGCAAGTCCTTCCCCTCAAGGAGTTCCTATCCTAGGAACGGTCAATCACAGGTTGAATATAATAGACTGTTTTAGGTTCATTTTAACTCTGCAAGAAATGCACCCAGCCTCCGTCCACCATAATATGTTAGTAATTTTTCCTAAGCATTCTGATTTAAAGGTTATCATTGGAAATGAAAACAAAATTACTGAACTAGCATGGAAGATGACCTATTCAAATACACAAACTCAACACATATCAGACCTGGAAGGGACCTTAGAAGTTATCCAGAATAACCACCTGCTCTATTCACACCATAAATGTGCGCCAGGATTAAACCCTCTTTAATTCTGAGTGGTTATCTAGACCTGTGCCGTCAATACGGTAGCCACAATACAGCTAGCTGGCACAAGAACTCTGGCTAGTCACTCTGGAGATGTGCTGTAAGAATAAAACATACACCCAATTTTGAAGATGCAGCACACACACACACACACACACACACACACAAGAATATGTCTAATGGTAATATATTGAATCAACTAGTTAAATAAAACATATTAATTTTACCTGCTTCTTTTTACATTTTGAGCATAAAGGCAAACTAGAAAATTCTAGGCAACTAGAAAGTTTTAAATGACGTGTGACTCGTATTACAGTGCTCTGGGACATCACTGATTTGACCGCATATGGCTCAAACACCTCCAATGACAGAGAACTCATTATATCCTACGGCAAAATACTACATCTTTGAATGGATCTGACCCTCTTCAATGTACCACTTCTCCTAGTTTAATATCCATCTCTCTAGATATTCAGATGGACTACATTTTTATCATAAATAGACCTAGATCCAGAGTCTGGCTTTCTAGCTGTCCCTGCACAAAAGGCAAATGCCATAGTACTGTTTCAAAATCTCCCATTGATGATTTGCCCCCGCAGTACTGGAATGGTTTCCTCCCAAAAGACAATACTTGATTCAAACCTGCGGTCATTTGACTTCCACGGTTCTAATACTGCCTGGCACAGTGCCTGCAGGAATCACAGTAAAGAATAAAAAACGATTTGTTGAACGAATGAGGACATGAGGTTTTGAGGGGAGTGATGATAAGCTTACTGTTGTATAAAAACAGGTATGATCTCATTCAAACGTAATTTTCTGAATAATAGATATCTGTGGCACCAGAAATTGAATAACAATTTTCTCTTCTTGCAGAAAATGAAATTTCAGAACATACTCTAGAAAGTTACAGATCGAGGTCAAATAATGAAGAAACATCATCCCAAGAGAAAAATGGCCAAAGTAAGTCAACTGTGTGACCCAAGATCCGAAAAATGAGGTTCATTAATATGTTAATTATTTTATGTTAATTTGCCTTGAATCGGGAGGGTCAAAATCAAAGCTTGAATTTTAGCACTAAAAAAGTCAAATCACCTAAATCATCTTGCAGAACTTAAGGAAATACATCTTGAAAAAACAAAAAATAGCAGTTAAGTTCCCATCGTTGAAGGTATGCCCCTTCGGGAAGCCATCCCTGTGTCCTCACTGTCACACAGGCACACCCCTATACCATCCCTCTCTCTTTGCGCCACAGTGTCCTATGTACACCTTTACCAGGGAAGCCTGTCCCACACCAGACTGTCATTTTTGGTGTGTTAATTTAGGTCCCACAATATACCTCCAGGTGGGGAGTCACTGGATCTACTTTATGTGAACCCCTAGATCCTCACACAGGGCTTGGCACAAATAGGGTGTTTGATACATTTGTATTAAATAAATGAATAGAAGGCTAATTAAAGCAGAAATGTTTCAGGTCTTCTGGATGACTTCATCATAACTCCTCAAGCAAAATATGAAAAGAGTCTAAAAGGAGACTCTGTGTGTGTGTGTGTATTCTTGACAAGGATCCAGTAGACAGAAGCTAAGAGTATATAGCAAAGCAAGAATCTTATACCTTCCAACCATCATTGCCTCCATGCAAATGAACTTATTCCATCCGCCAAAAGCTGCAAGAAAATGCAGTGAGCTTTGCCACTAGTTTCTATTGGTTTGACTGAGGTTTTGTAGGAAGCATGTCCTTTACAACACCTCTGCCTTTTTTGTTTTGACCTAGCAGGGTGTGAAGTGGAAAGAAAGAAGAGCTGTAGTAGCAGGAAGAGGGACACGAGTGAGCGGCCTGTGCGAGAACTGGGGGTGGGAGGGGAAAATGTGTGTCAGCTGCGCACAGGCCGTTGTATTGCCTCCCGTGCGTCTCTATAGCATCAGTCTTCCCCTACGACTGGCAGGGAGGAGGAGGACGTCAGCATAATGTGGAAGTCAGGGTGTTTCCTGTGCCCATTCTCCCAGGCAAGGGGAACAGAACAGTGGGAGTAGACATATAACCTTAGCAGGAAAAGAAAAAGCCCTCAGGTCCACTGCTGAACAAGCAGAAGCCCGTGCAATTCACCTTTAAGAAAGTTTAAAATGAGCACCTGTAGAGGACTCACTCCCCAGAAAGAGCCCCCACTCCCCCAGCCCCATGAGGGGGGCTTGTCGTGGCCATCGGGGGCTGCACTTTCTCCTGGGCTCTGACCTCCACTTCCATCTTCCTTCCCTCAGCATCCTCAAACCCAGCATTTCAACTCTTGTTTTTGCTCATTTGAAAGGTTCCTTCTGGAGTCATCTCCAGACTCCACATACAGAGCTGTGTGGGCTTTCGGAGGGCCACCCTGACACTCTTTTTCCCATCAGCCCCATTACTTCTGTTATGAAATTATGTTAAAGGCAATGTGGCTTTTTTGGTCCAGAAACATACATCATTTTATAGCAGAGATGTGTGTGTATGTACGTATGTGTATATATGTATGTGTGTGTGTGTGCGCGCACACACACACATATATATATATATAATTTTAGGTTTATGAGCATATTGTTTACCTGAAAAGACTTTTTAAAAAGTAGACTATAACAGTGCATTCAAGACCATGTATACGCATCAGTGAACTTCAGATTCAATTTTTTAAGACATTAACATTTGGACTCACCTATAGCATGTGCATCAGTGTGTTTCAAATAAGTAGGTGCAACATTGTTCAAACTAAATGTTCACGTTCAATGTGTCTTTCTTCCAGCTTCTCACTCCAAGAGCTGCATGAACTACATCACACAGTTGTACTCAGAAGCAAAAACAAAGAGGAAGGAAAAGACACAACCTTCAACATTACAAGGAGAGCACACTCATATACCAGAGAGCATCGTGTAGTGCTCCCTGCAACAGAAAATACGATTTCAGGGCAGTCTCATCATCACCTGAGTGGAGCAGCCTGTGGGGAGGAGCATAACTACCTTAAAGTGAAAAGCGTACTTCCGAGTGCAATGCAAGATGGTGTCCTCCGATGCTCATCTGCCCCGGACTCAGAGTGACAATTGAGGACCCAACCATGGACATAAAGCTTTGTAGATAAAAGAAAAGAAAAGAAAAGAAAGAATCTATTATGCCTGACACTTCTTCAGAGCAGGAGGATTCTACTAAGCTTTTGGATCGGGGTCAGTGTGACCAGCTAGCATCTTACTGTAAAGGAAACAGGAGATTTTACATGCTGGACTCTAATGGAACTACTTCGTAAAAAAAAAAAAAGAAAAATTGTTTTAGTCTTTCTTTTTGGTCTCCAAATAAAGAACTTAGGGGTGAAAAGGACCTAAAGAAGGTCTCTAATCCTAGGAGCTTACTTTCAAGACAGACTTTTAAGAAGATGTAACCAGCACATTCACTGTCAGGGAAGAGTGCTGCAAAACAACGAATGAGCCAGATGAGCACGAACGCCCCAAGATTCACGCCCCAGGAGCCAAGTGTTAGTTCAAGGGAGGCCCAAAGATTCCATTTTCTTAGGATTTCCTTACTAAATCACAAGAGTTGACCTGATAGATAATGCTTTTACCAGGACAGTTCATTGCAAAAAAAACATGTACAAAGGAAAATAATAGTTGAATATACTGATGACTCACAATGGATGTTTTAAAAAAATTATTTAATAAAGAGCAGAATATATATATATATTTGTGTTTCTAGTGATTGTTCCAAGTTGTACTTCCTCCTTTCACTTTCAAATGTGAAAGTGACATGTCTTTTTTTTTTCCTAGCATTTATTTATGACATTTCCCGTTCTCTGGATCTGAATAAACTAATTCTGAAAGAATACCCTCCCCGCCACTGCCTTACCACACACACAAAAATTACGAGTTTGTAGTTGGTTCCAGGGGACAGATCCAGCCGTGCTGATTTTTCTCTCGTGATAGATTTTTTTTTTAACAATCAAAAAATTGCTGAGAGACAAGAGACTAGAACAAAGTACTTTTTCCTCGAAACCATTTGAGAGTAAGTTGACATGATATCCCATCACCTCCCAGGTGCTTGAGTGTGGATTTCCTCCACAAGCGAGGACACCCTCCTCTGTAACCACAATGCAGCCACCAAAATCAGGAAATTAGCATTCATATAGGGATACTAGCAGAACTCAGACTCCATCCAGGTTTCTCCGATTGTCCCAACTGTCCCAGGGGATCTAGCTCAGAATGACATATTTCATTTTCATCCCATTCAGTTCGGCACAGTGCCTCAATCCTGCCTTCACTTTCAGGAGCTGGACAATTTTGAGGATTACAAGCTGGTTATCTCGTGGACTGTCCCTCAGTTTGGCTTTGTCTGATGTTTCCTCATGGTTGGATTCAGATTATGCAATTTGGACAGGACTGTCGCAGAAGGGATGTTTTGTCTGTCACACTGCATTTCATCGACCCCTTTACTGCTGATGGTCACCTTGATCACTCGATGAAGGTGGTGCCTGTCAAACTTCTCCACTGGAAAGTTACTCTTTTCCCCTTTCTAAGTTAATATTTTGTGGGGAGATGCTTTAAAGCTACGTAGATTTCCCGTTCCTCGTCAAACTTTCAAGTTAGTCCTTTATCGATTGTTATCTATATGGACTCATGGTTTCCTCTGTTGTTAAAAAGGTTTATCTGTTGCTATCCTATGTTATTCACTGGGTTATAATCTGTTGCTGTCAAATTAACCAGCAGCTAATTTGATGATCAAACTGTGGAAACAGGCTTTTTTGTGTCCTTCTTGTCCTCAATTTTTGAGAACATTCTTGCTTTCTGGTACAAAATATTCAAGGGTCATCTAAAAATTTTCCTGCTCCAGCCCTGTAATCAACCATTTCTCCAAGGATCCCTGTTTCCTTTTAATGGAAAATGGTATTTAGAAGCCAAAACCCAGGGAATATGTGTACCCATTGCTTTTGGGGGCATCAATGTTTTCAAGTTATCTCAGTAGACAGAGCTGGGGAATATATGAGAACATATACAGGCGTATGTATATATGTGTCCATGTATGTGGGTATATGTAAATTCCTGTGTTGAAAACCATGAATTTATGCTAGTTTTCTCCCTTTTCATACTTGTAATTAGCCTTCTGAGAAATCCAGCTTTCAATATCCTTAACATAGTCACTAATTTGCTCAATCCCCTGTATGTGAGCATCTCCCATGTCTGCTACCATCTCATTCTCCTTAAGGATGTCCTCCTCCTCTTCATGCTCAAGTTCTGACTCTCCATGCTATGCCCCCATCCCGCCAGGTGGAGGCTCTCCTCACCACCCTTGGGCTCTGATACCCCCTAGAAAACAGCTGCTTTATGGAACATTAGTGTTCTAACAAACACAACTGGGGAAAGACCCATTTAGAGCAATCCTTTTGTATTATAGACAAGGGAACTGAGACCCAGGGGGGGTTTTGTCAGACATCAAAGACACAACTTGTCAGTGAGACAGTTAGGATTAGAACCTCGGGCTCCTCCAGAAATGAACCCACAAACC